TTAGTTTTGATGCAAAAACGCATGATCGCACCGGCTCGCCTGGTGCGTTCCAGCCTTTGTTTCTCTGATAATCAGACCCGTTACCAATCACCACCTTTTTCGAATTATTTATCTGTCGTTTCAAACGATGCGTGATTGTCCAGAATGAGGTTCAGTGCCTACTCAAAATTTCCAAATTAAAATATCCCGTCCTGTTGCTGATCTCTAGTCGTACAATCAAGTTTAACATGTTTTTAATGAGGTTCGTGAATGCAGCAATCTGCATATTCAAATGCTGCAGGAGTTAAAAGTTTATGCTGGCCTGTACACCCAAGATTCCTCGGCTTTTTTGAAAGGTGCTGATGTTACTGTCGTTTGTTATTGCTTTTTTGCAGATTCTGATACGGGAATGCGAAGTGGAATTAGAGAGGTTACGGGTGGAGCTGGATGCGGCTCAGCGCCAAGAAAGCACCCAAAAAGAATATCTTGAAAAACTGCTGTCGCCATAAAGTCCTCTTTTTATAAAGCATAATCTAGGCAGACCGGTTGTGCAAATATAATATTGAATAAATAGCGGCGCGCACCAGGACAGCCGTGCGATCATGCGTTTTCTGCCATTCCGTTCATCGAACGATTGCCTGCTAACGATTTTCACTGCTCCAAATCTAAATTTGAGGGCTGAACGTGGGCATTGGACGTACCCATAAAATATAGCTTCCTAGATTCCGCGGTTCACGAGATAATAATTTACTCGCCAAAAGTTTCACGAGACGGTAGCTGATACCCGAGAGCACGGGAACGCTGGATTTGAATTTGCGAGGTCGTACATGGGTAGAGGGTCATTACCACAAGATTTCAGTTTCTTAAATTCCGCGGTTCCCGAGATAATAGTTTACCCGCCAAAAGTTTCACGGGGCCGTATATATTACCCGCCAGTAGGGGAAGTCTGAATTTAAATTTTCTGGGCCGCACTTGGGCAGTGGATATACCCATGAAATTTCAACTTCCTAGATTCCGCAGTTCCTGAGATAGTAATGTTCCTGGCCGAAACTTTTACAAGGCCATACGTGTTACCGGCGGGTACGGGGAGGCTGAATTTAAATTTGCGGGGCCACACGTAGGTGGACAACATTCCTGTAAATTTTCAGTTTCCTAGCTTTTGTGGTTTCCGAGTTGAAAGTTGCGGATAAGTTGTTGCAGACACACATAGACAACCTCGTGACAATATGCGTTTTTCACCGCTGTTACACAGCACAAAACGCATAAAAACTGAAAGTTACACAGGATAATGACGGTGCTACTTTCCAGGCAGAAACAGTGAAATTTGATTTCCTCAAAATGCTCCTGAAAAAGGAACGATATTTCAGTTCTGTTCTGCTCACTTCTGAATTTTTGATCACAGTTCCTATCTCCCGAGCACACAAATAAAAAAGTGATATTTTCTACCATGTAAATCAGAATTAATCCGAAGCGGGACAGAGTAGTTATGTGTTTTTGCACATACAAATGCAAAAACGCATATTGTGAAGACCCCGTTGTGTATGTTTGTGTGTTTATGTATGTGTGCGTCTGTCCGGATATTTTAACTCGGCTACCAAGCAAGCTCCGGCATCAAATTTTTGGCAGTGGGTTTTCCGACCAACACCGCGGCGCTAGCCTTCATGCATGTCTGGACCCCGCTTACGAGAATGTGAAAGCTCTAGCTAGAAAACCGCTAACTTGGGAACCAGAAAAGCTGGAAGGCTGAAACTTTAAGGAAATGTTCCAAGCCCGCATAAGACAAGGTTTTAAACTCAGCCCCCTCCTCGCCGTGGTCCTCATGTAGGGTCCGCGAAACTTTTCGTCGGGAAAATTGACTAACTCTGCGGCCAGAAAAGCTAGAAAGCTGAAATTTTGAGAGGATCTCCCCTGTCTAAATACAGCTTAAAAATTTCAGATTCAGCCACCCGTTTTGCGTGGTTCTCAGGTACAGGCCCGTCAAAATTTACGGCGGGAAGATTGCTGACTCGAAAATCAAAAAACCTGGGAGTCTGAAATTTTGAATGTCCCCGGTCCAAGTACTACGCGGTTGTACAGTTAACTTCCTAAACTATTGGGATTCCAAGCGATCTAACTACAACACGAAATATTGCAAAAACGCATAATTGCACGGGTCCACCTGGTACGCGTCACCAATGATTTTTCATCCTGAGCAACCCAATTGATCCATTTTCAACAGTTGCTGCAATCTGCTGCCGCTACTTGCAGCTTCGTATGAGTGAGGCCTAAGTTGTGAATAAAGGTGTATTGGATTGTTAGCTGCAAAAAGAGTTCTTGTACAGAGATGTGAAAGCAAAGAGATGCAAATATGTAAGAAATGCAAATTTGTACTGGTCGTAATTGGGTGCAGTAAAAGCAAATGATTCGGGTTGTTCTTGTTGAGCAAACAACAATGCACCGGGACATCAGCGTACTTCACATTTTCACAATTTTTCTCAGTAGTAGCAGCCACTCATGTTCATTTTCTGGACACTGGTCAGTAATTTGATTACACACCTGTCTTTTTCCCTTTCTTTTGGTGAAGA